GCAGGGGATAATTTTCGCATGCCTGGCAGTCACGGTTCCTTTTCATTTTTGTTTTAAGAATTTTTAAAGTTACGATTCTGTTGAACTGCTATGTGATGTTGTTCCAGAATATCGCACTTTCTGTAAAGCGACTTGCAGTTACTAACAAAAAAATTTTCTGATTCAGTCTTGAAACAATCCTGGTACTGCCTGGTACTGTTTTCAAAAAAAAAAAAAAACTACTTCAGCAGCGTTGTCTTAAGGGTGGAAAATGGCTGCTATTCGGTCTTTTGTGCTAAGAGAGCATGAGACACGTACATTTATAAATACGAAAAATTTGAATCTCGGAGTGTAAAACAGGCCGCAGAGGAGGTTAATTTGTTAATTGGATGCATTTGTTGGCTATAGCAAATTCGCATTAAAAATTGGTGGCCAAACGTGAGGAAAGGATGAACTCAGATGGAAAAGTGCATCATTTGGTACAGGCAACGTAGAGGTTAGGGAACATTTGCTTCTTTTTAAGCGATTTCGAAAAAGAAGCCGTTTTGGTTTATAATACTTTTTACGGAAATTTCAAGCAAATTTTCCTGGTCACATGCGTTCTTTTTTCAGGCGCAAGAAAAAGCAAATCGTAAAGCTGCCGAGAAAAAAGAAGAAACAAAAGCTAATGCTTAATTTTGTGTTTTGTAGAATAAATTGACGAATAAAAGTGTATGTTTTTCTAATCCATTAATGCCGGATCTACAACTTATCATTCAATCGGCAGGTGTTGTTGGCTGGTTTGTATTTCCTAGCCAGAACAGAATCGCCCTCGCTGAACTAACGGCTGTCTTGTTTTCTGATTTTGTTACAATAAATTGTTATTCGAAAAACCACATTTTCGCATTTATGCTAGAAGTTATATCAGTTGTCCAAGCAAGAACTTCCTTGACAAACAGCACCTCATTTATTCTGTGTCAGCCTGGATGAATTGTTCAAGTTTTTCCTGTATTTCATTGTACCTTCGCGACGATTGATTCATAACAGCATCTGAAAGCAGCATACATGGCTGTTGGCAGTTGCTTAGGCAATTGGCAATTCTTTTTCCCTCTCACCAAAATAAACTAAGCATCGGGATTAACCATTGAGGGGTTAGTTTTTACTCTGTACGAGGCCAGGTACTGAATTCATGCATGCAACGAGCCCTTCGAGCTGATCGGTTGCAGCCCCATTCTCATGCACTCCCAGTTATTGGTAATTACACATACCGGCAGTTTGTTAAAGTGCTGCTGTTGAGCTTTGGATGTGTAGAGGGAAATGCGATGAGGATTTTGTGCGTTGCTTCATGAACGCAAATGCGGCACTGGAAAAACTACGGAAACGTTAGCTGATGAACCGGGTCCTCATGGGAGTCCGCGTTTGGGAGTTTGTTAAAAAGCGCAGGAGAACGGCAAGATGAGATGCACACGGAATAGATGTGTTTTTTGTTTGACAAATATATCCGACAATAAATTACAGGACAGATGCAGTGCAATTTTGCAGGCCAGCATTGCCATGACTGTCATTTTTACCTGAAAGAAGTAGAAAGTTATGTCCAGGAAATGGGAAGAATTGATCTCATTGCAGTATTGTAAACCCAGGCTGGAACGCACCAGGCGAGCCGGTGCGATCATGCGTTTTTGCACCAA